AAAAAAAAAAATCCTCATTTTAATTAAACCCATGACTGAAACAATTATCTGCACAATTAGAAGCAGTCCGCGATTCCTAGGGTTCCTGGGCCCCCAAATTAGGCAATTCACTAAAAATTTATTTTTACAAAAAATAAAATAAAATAAATATAGTAATAATTAATAATCGAAAAGCGAACCTTAAAATTAAAATAAATGCATCCAGGTCGGAGACGATGATGTTCGAACGAGCAAGCTTGAGGATGAAATTCGAACGCCATTGAAACGCTGTTAAAAATTGGTGTGAGGTTGTGTAAAGATGGTTCTACTAATCTCCTCCACATGAGAATAGAATAAAATCCAACTTTAAATTGGAGTCATTTTATACTTGCGATAGCATTTCGATTTTGTTATGAAGCCAACAGTTGGCCTCATAATGGAGCGACCTTCTATATAAACCTATCATATTTTCTGATTACTTAAATAACATTAATATAATTATTAATATAGTAGATTTATTTGTTATATATACCAGGTTGGCTTCATAGTAAAACCCGACATAGGACGGTGGTGGAACGTATATTTCTGGCCTCAAATCGTTTAATCTAATTATTGTTAGTAGTATAAAATTAGAGAACAATTAAACCTATATACATTGAAACAGTTTTATATTTAATTCAAAAGAAAGTATTTTTTTTTTAATGTTGTATATGCTATTTAAAGAAATATTGCACAATACATTTTTAAATACGAATTTATCAATTATGCGTTGATATATGTTTTACATTTAGATAATCACTAATGTGACAACATGATTGTAGCATAGAAACATATTTTAGTAAATTGGATATAACAGAATTTGTTAGTTTATTTATTTTTGTCAACAAATAATTTTTAAACCTTTTCAACCATAACAATAAAATGGATCATTCATTTAAATAACTAATAATAATAACCTACTTAATTAGATAATCACAAATGTAATATATGTGTTGTCTAGGATATCCAATTTTAATAATTCCTAGTGCAATCTTGTATTTTAATAATCCCTAATGTAATCAACTAGTGTGTACCTCGTGCGATGCACAAGAACAATATTAAATTCACAATATTGTAAATAGACCTCAAGTTTGAGTCACTCAATGGCGGAAGTGGAAACTACCATTGATCCTATTTAAAGAGAGGAAGAAAAAAAATAATTATAAATTAAAGAGCAAGATAAACAATACTTAATAATTATAAATTAAAGATTCGAGATCAAACAATGTAAAATTATTTTGTATAAGATAATATAAAATTTACATTATTTTGTACAAGAGGAGATAAAATTTGTATGTTTAATTATAAAAACACCTAAAATATTATATTAGTATATGTAAAAGTATCCAAATTTTTCTATATAATTTTTGAAAGATGTGAAACCACCTACAATTTTTCTAAACAATTTTAGAAGGAAAACATATCTAAAAATATTTGAATTTAATATTGTGTTAAAAAAAAAAAATCTAGA